ATATTTTAATTCATGCTTAAATAAGTTCCAAAATGTAAAGTCCATTTTTTACGAAGAAGAACGACAAAGAAACTTGGAGGAAGGAAGAAGTAACGGTCGGCCTCCTCAACCTCACCCACACGGCGAAACTCAACGGTGTGGTTGCTTCACGTCGCTTTTCTGTAAGGCCATGTTATCATTTCGGTCTTTCCGACCCATTATTGTCTCAAAATTGTGTTTATTTAGTATCAATCACATGAAACGCTTATAAATAAGCCGTCACTTTTAGCTCTTTACCTGTCTGTCAGTTCGTAAAATTACAAATTGTAATCTTGTAGTGACAGCCCCTTAAATGTTCAATGATTAATTTGAATATGATTTTAACTTGAACCGGTTCTCTGCTTATGAAATAATGTTGAATGAATTTAAGATAAAGGTAAAATATATTGTTTCCGTTTTAATTTTAGACGTTTTCTCTATAATAGAAGTTCATTATTGGAAAGGCAAATAATTACTTGGAGGAACCGATATTAAAGTAGCGATTGATCTTTTGATTTCGTGTAACAGTCGGAATCAAGTTACAAAAATAATAGAATTGAAACCACAATATTTCCACGAAAAATTACTTTACGTGTGGTTTTTGTGGAATATGAGGCAAGCGAGACGACGGATCTTATGACGGTAAGCGATCAGCACTGCCCATGAACACTCGCAACAGAGAAGTTACAAAATACATACGTTACGGATCTGCTAGGACGGAGGAGTAAAGACCAGCTAGTCCCAAGCCACACGATCAGCAGTTGCTTTTAATTGATAGAACTTTTTCACATACAAAATACGAAAATAGAAAAAAAGAAAGAAAGAAGAAAGAAGGAAAGAAAGAAGAAAAGAAAGAAAAACCATTTATTTCACACACAAATGACGCAAGAAACAAACACACACGATTATAGTTAAAAAGGGACAAAACAAGCAATGAACATAAAAAAAATAAGAAAAGCACTACAATTGCGTCACTCATGCGTGAAAAAAATCTTCCACAGTTAAATTATAATGCAAACGATCCATACCAAAACGATATTTCACCATTAAAACAAGATCACTGATACACAAAGCTTTCACGATTAACATACTCAATGCGGTGATCCTATAGACCTCACACTTTATACAAAATTACCTGTGAAAATAAACAGTGCTGTGGAAACAAAAGAGATAATCGTTGTTTCGGTTTTACTCCGAGCGGAACCAATTTGTTGCAAATCACACTGGCATTTGTGGCCTACAGCTAGTTGGGAATATCCTTTTAGATTCAAATAGGTTTATCTTTTGGAAGATGTGGTGGTAATCAGGAATCTTAAGTTTTGATTGTAAGATTAGAGGTCAAATGTTGTTTATTTTTCAACATTTTCATTGGTAATAATTTGCTACTATATTAAGAAAATCAGAATATGTTCAGTCTCAGTGAAAGGGTTTTCTAAAATTGGATCTCCCAGATTATATCATATTATTTTAAATTCAATGCTCATCATTTAATCAGCATCAGCAACAAACATCATATAATTATTTTCTTGAAGAAATAAAAAAAAATTTTTGCTTGACCAACTGCAAAAACTATGTTCTAAAAATCTGGAACTAGAAAACAGTCAAAATTCTCAAAAGCCTCAAAAGTCTTTAGATTACGATTTATAATTGGCCAAGTTTTTGAAGAGACGCCTAAGGATCAGGGGCTAATTGGCATGAGCAGTGATGACTGGGACCTTCAATGGTAGTCATGACTCAAGAATTACACTTACAAACTCGCTCCACGATAACGTTGGTGGATGTAAAGTTTGTTTCAAGCCCAATGTAGAAACTAATAGCGGGAATCAAATTTTAATGAGCGATAAGACAAATAATATAGGGCGATTGAAACAAAACCAAAGTAATGTAAACATTTTTGTATATGATATACGGACATATTTGACAGCAATTAAAGATTTATTTTAATCATTTTAAATATTTAATGCAATATTAGGATTTTGATACCTAAAACCTATAAACTGTTTTTTCAATCATTATTATGTACTCAGTTTTAGGTCGGGTACGATATTAACGCATAACGCATTCCTGTTTTTTAATTACTAATGGAAATAGAGCTAACGAAAGTCAGATGTAAAGGATCATTCCATCTTTTTTGGAAATAAAAACTGAGTGATAAAACAGAAGATCAATGTTGGAAATCATACTTTCGAAAAGTAAAAGCTGTAAAGTTTCAATTATTATAATGTGGTTGCTGTAATGAACTCAGTTCATGACTTGCCCCAAACCGAGGATCAAAGTATAATTCGGGACATTTGGGAAGTAACAGCGTTTTCAAAAGACAATAAGAGATTTCGCGAAGCTGGGAATATCGTTTAATACTGACTGCTGGTTTTATTGTTAGGATTCAAAAGCAGGCCTTGATAAACTTATTGTCTTTGTGCTTATCAAAACCTTTGAAACAAATGAGGTTTAGTTCTACTCATATTTGGGAACATAATATGGCATTTGTCAGAATATAATTGTTCATTACTTTTAATTTGTTAAGTCAAATCAATTAAAAAAATATAAATACTTTTGAGATAATACATTAAAATCAAACAATAGTTTGTCCGTTGAAATAAGTGCCATTTATGGCATAAGTTTACAAACAAATGCTACGCAGCTGGTACCATCTACGATACCTAAGGAGTCAGAAGAGCATTCTTTAAAGATTGTGGATTTGAGTGAAGGAGAGACCTCTCTCTATTTATTCTGCCCAGGGAGGTCGTGGTATCTAACTTTAGTTAAGTCTCCCAAAACTTGTCTCTCCGACACTTAAAATATTTTTGAATCAGATAACGTCGGTCTCTTCAATCCATTTAATAAAACACCAGTTAATTATTTTGTAAAAAGCTTATATTCTCTAAATGCAGTTTTACAAAAGTGACACTTTGGCTAACATTTTGGTCAGGTATCAATATACAATATCAAAAAAATAAAGACAGTTACATAATAAATTAATGTATATTACAGAATTAATCAACTAGGGCACTTAGGTAGTTAATTTCTATAAAAAACAGATTGAAAAACTGACATTGATTGTGAATATTTTAATTTGATGGAATGGATTTTAATGTTTTAGGACAACGCACATTTTTAACTTAAACCTATTTTTGACGTACGATTTCAAACAGTTCTTTAAATATTATTGAAATTTCCAGTTTTTCAAAATAATCTTTACCTATTATATCTACAGAGATCTTAACTTGGTATACCTATAGCTTAAGCTGCAAAAACTGTTACGGGATATGGACCTTAATTAAACACTAACTAAATTATGGCTATTTCTAAAAATATACGTCTCAGTCTAACTTGCATTCAACCTTTTTTTAATTCTACCTTCTTCACAGTACCTGTACTAGTTTCAGTATCATTCGATGAACCCGAAGTAGAATGTTCCAGTTTTACTGAATCACCCCTACTTTTATCGCTACCCCTTTTACCCTTAGAACTTCTATTTAAAATGGAAGGTGTTCTACTTTTTCTCTGTTTGACTTTAACAGCCTTTTCTGGTGGCCTATGAATACTCTCCGTTCTGTGTTGCAGTTTATTCAGACCAAAATTAGGTTTTATTTGGGCAGTTTTTTCTAAATCACTCACATCTGGTAAAAACAAATCACTTACGCATACATAATCATCTTTGGATTTAGGAACTACAATACCGGGATTAATTTTTACAGGCACGATTTCTAATTTCTTTTCAAAAATCGAGTCTGGTCCTTTCGAGTCTAATACATCCTCCATATTTGTCGGTGAATCAACACCACCAACTAACTCTTGAATGAGTTTATCTTCAAATTCCTCATCAATATCAATATCGTCGTCTTCATCCTCATCGGAACAAAACGATGAGAATGATGTGATAGATCCTTGCATGTGGAAATCGTCTGGTAAGCGAACTCTTGGCGCGTTTGTAGGTATTTCGACTTGACTTGGGGATGGTGTAATTACTATTTTAGGCTCTTGTGACGATGGATTGTCACTAGAAGCGATAATCACTCGTGGCAATTCTCTATCTTTTGGCAATATAATATTTGTTTCAGGCATATTTCGTTCAAATGATGCATTTCGTGAAGCTGCATTACAGTATGGCGACAAGCTGTCGATATTTTCGTAATTCTTAACAACAGTTGTATCTTCATTAATTTTTTTGACATTTGAGGCGTCAAAGGACGATAGCGGTTTTGTATTTTTATATGCAAGACGTCGTTCTAGAGTAGTGGTTCGTGGCGGGGGTTGCGGTGGAACTTTGGGACGCTCGTCCATTGATGAGTATCCTCGGAACGTTTGCAATGTAGTCGGTTGTAGTGACAACCGCTTTTGCGCTTTTGGTAGGTCAGGCAATACTTTGGGAAAGTTCCTTTTTTTAATAGTCAATAAAGCTTCTTCTGCCGTCATCGGATTTATTTGTGGACGTTCTTCACGAGATGTTACATTTATATCGTTTCTAAATGTAACAGGCGGCAGTATATTCATCAGATTAGCCGACTCCATCTTTTCTAATAATTTATCGTAGTTGACGTCAGTAACTGGATCAGAGGAGGAATGCTTATGAGATATTATCAGAGGCTTTTCTTGGACAGATAAGGTCACTACATTTGTAAAAGTTTTTTCGTCATCTTTAGATCCTGCATTAGCGTCGGGAGACTTTAATTCAACTTCTGTAGATTTTTCTGTTTTATTGGAATGTATTTGATCGCCGTTATCGAATGATTTGGATATTTCAATGGGTTCTTGATTTAATATAGAGTTAGTTCTTGCAGCGGGTGTCGCATCAATGGCTACAGAAACTTTTTTGGATTTGATACTTTCAGTAGCTTTACTTTTTATCGATTCATTTGATTTACTCGTTTGTTTTATACTGCTTAAGGACTGTTTGTGGCTTCCAATAGAAGAATGTGAGCCAAGCGCTGAGGTAGAGGTAGTTTTTTCAGATGTTCTAGTTTTACTATATGTTTTTGACCCTAAACTCTTAGAATTTACACTTTCATTGATTTTAAGGTTATCCTTTTTACTTTTCTTTGTATCTGAAAGAAGTTCTTCTGATCTCGTGAAAGGTTTCGCTACAGTCATGTGTTTTTCATTTAAGTCTGAGTTTGATTTTCTCAGTATACCTGGAGAACATCGATGCATCATTTCATTGGCAATCCAGTCCCTCACTTTAGTGTGAGCGTCTAAAGTGCTGGTCGATAAATGCCGTCTTAGTTTAAATCTCTCTCTAAATCCCCCTGAGTCATCAGATTTGGGGGTTTTACAGACTTCCGATTTCTTTTTATGTTTCTTGGAATTGTTTTTCATTTTATTAAAACTCATCGACTTGATAACGCTGCAACCGTTTTTCAGAGTTTGCAGAGCGCTTTTGTCATCCTTAGAGCTCTTCTGACCGATTACATCTACTTCACCTATTTCGGCACGCGGCTGATGAGTGCTCTCGAGTGTTTGCTCGCGCAATCTGAGCTTACGTTTTTTGATATAAAATATAAAACAAATTGCGACGTTGATAGCGAGAAAGAGAATAGCTAACGACACTATCAACGCGATAGTTGCGCTGGAAGTTTTTACTGACAAGTTGACTATTGGTTTAGACGTAGTCGTGTGTGTAAAATGTGTTACGGTTTTTTCCATTAGCCCCGATGGTACGGGACGGGCTGGCTTCTCAATGGACATAATCTCCTTGTATATTACATTAGAGTCCGGCCTTCTAACTGGTTGTGAATATGGACGCATTTTTCCGTATATTCCCGAGGAAGAGTAGTGTGGAGTTTCCGCTACTTGTGGAGCCCAGATCCGTCGAATTGGATCTGTAATAAAATATCATGTGGGTGAAACTATCCAAAGATTATAAGATTAATTGGTTATGGTTTGCAGTAGTTACGGATTATATTTGCAGTAGTAGTTACAATTTAAGTTACGGAATATAGATATCTATGAAAAGGAAATATTTACACTTTTTTAACAGATTTTCGAAGATCGTGATTTGAAGAAAAAATACACTTAATTCATCACCCTACCTTTGACTGAAGAGCTGGTGTATTTACTTGTAGGTTTGGTTTCACTAGGCGCGTTTCCTGTGTTCCTGTGACTAATTTTAGGTTTCGGCGATGGAGGTGGAGGAGTGTATTCAAACAACGGATCCACTATATACTTGCTCACTTTATTTGGCAACGTGTCTATCCAAAACTTGGTGTAATTAGAACGATATGACGTATCTACTTCTGGCGGAATGTCTGTAAACAAAATATTTTAATTATATATATATTCAAAGAATGAATGAAAAAATATTTAGTTGTTAGTAAATCACGAGCCAACTTAACTTTCGCAGTAGTAATACATTAAGATGTTCTTATAACAATTTGAAAGGGAGATTAAGGTTTTTCAAGTTGAAAACTAAAGTTCAGTACGTATACAAGAAAGGGCCTTGAACTGATATTGTACTGACTCCTTCTATGACTCATTGATTACCACTTCGTGCTGTGTAGAGGTAGTTTATTGGACAGGCGGTTATGATGAAAGGTTGATCTAGTGGATATTTCAATTTTTTTAATAATGTGTTTTAAAGTTATTTCATTCCTTGTGCTGTTACTTCTTTCGAAACTGTATACCTCATTTATTATGCAGTGCTAGAAAAAAAACAACTGAAAGTTTTTATTGCGGCACTAGCTAGCGGATCGGCAATGGAGGATTCACTGATCAGGCAAGGTTATGATGCTTGGTGGGCTACTACCTAACATTTGTACGTTGGCACTTTCTGTCTATATTAAATTTCACCGCGCGCAAACTTTACTAGTGTGGTATACATAATGTATTCATATGTAGGCTTCGTGTCATCATAAGTCGAATTTAGTCGTCGTCTAATATGCATTGCCAAATATCTGATGAATTGATCATTGAACAAGCTTGAAGGTTTTTACTTACAAGTAGTTTATAGTTATTTGACTTACCGAACTTCAGGTAAGATTGACGGGTACCATCATACTCGGGCCAGTCAATGTCATACAGACTCCATTGTCTTCGATCCATGTTATAAAACTTGACTGGAGCCTGAGAATTTGGAGACCTGGAGAACAAAACGTGTGTCATTGGTCGTGGTGGCCTGGAGCTTTTCATGAGAAACGGGCCCGCACTCTCCTGTATAGATGAGGGTGCGAGTTCAAAACCTGGCAAGTACCAATGTGACTTTTTCGAGTTATATATACTTTCTATGATTATTTAGACACCGCTGACATACGGAGTAGGAAAACATCTTGACTACACGAAGTGCACGGCAGCCGGTTGCCCAGCCACCGCGTCAACCATGCAATCTAAATTTCACTTAGGAAAAACAAATACACAGATCGCAAAAATAAATAAAAGCCGGTGAAATTGAAACAGAACAAATATGTACCCATATTTGACAAAATTTGTCCACATCCTCATGATGACCTCGCTAAGTAGTTTTTCCTGTTGCGTGTAGTCGGGGTTAAAGTGTGTGTTTGTTACTCCTAGCGGTACACCAAACACGTACGGTAACTCTTCTCCTTGGACACTTTTGTTCAGCTAAATAAAATAAAAATAATAAAAATCATTATTAAAAAAACGAGTAAGGTTACACTAATGAGTAAGGTTAGTAAGTAAATAAATTAATAATAAATTTTAATTCAATTTATTCAAATACTAGACATGCGAAAGTAACTTTGTCTGTGTGTCTTTTTTTGCCTAAACTACTGAATCGATTTCTGTGAAATTTGGTACAGACATAGTTTGGAACTCGAGAAAGGACATAGGATAGTTTTTATGCCAAAAATCTGGAGGAAATCACTATTCCACTGTGGTTTGTGGCTAGTAAACAATAGTTTAGGTGTGACATGAAAACATATCATGGCAATGCAAGAAAGGTATGAATCAATTAATCTAAAGGATGCTTTTTTTTTTTTTTTTTTGTGAGGGGAAAATCATCAAATGACTTCTCCCGCCCCGGGCCGGGCAGGAGGGAGTGTCAGACTCTTACTGACTAAAAACCCCCCTGTTCCTTCTCCTGCTCTGTGCCGAGGTCGCGGTACCTTATTGCGCTTACCCCGCAACCCCGGCTGAACATCAGCCCTTTAGGGCCCCGTCTGTGGTGGTCTATTGGCTCTTTGAGGCGCGCGCGGAACGCTACGCGCCGTACGCTCGGGCCTGGTTCTGGTCGGGCGGCGAGCTGCCCTTACTCGCCGACCGCAGGCCCGTACTTACGGTGGCCGGAGATCGTCCCTCGATCCCCGACGCCCGTAGTGTCGCCAGTTGCGGCTGCTGGGGCGTGAGGAGGAGGATTGCTCCCTCACGCGGGCCGCCTCTCTCTTTGCGAGCATGACTGCTTCACAAAAGGAGGAGACGGCGTCCCAGTTCCTCTCACTCCGCACCATGGCCTCGACTAAGGCCGGGCGCGAGAGGTCGCCGCCGCCGATCACTTCCCTGAGGATACGGCGGTGCTCAGCCCAGGCAGGGCATACCGCTACCGTATGCTCCACCGTATCCTCTAGGTGGTCCTCACAATGACGACACTCGGGCGTTTCCTCCCGCTGAATCCGAAACAAGAACCTACCGAAGCTGCCGTGCCCGGTAAGCACCTGCGTCAGGCGGAAGGTGAGGACGCCGTGGCGTCTCTCAAGCCACTCCTCAAAGAGGGGTCTTACCGCTGCTATGGTAGCGTGCCCGGCCCTCGGTTGCGACAGTCGTTGTTTCCACTCTGCCATGAGATCTCGCCGGAGCTCATTCCGCCACGCACTAATTTGGCGCGGCAGAGGATCTTCGCCCCGGCGACGCGCGTCTGCGCGCAAACTGTAGACGCGCGCGAGCGCCTTCGCTTCTAGATCCCACGGCGGTGATCCGGCAAGGAGGTTCGCCGCCTCCCCGGAGATCGTGCGATACCCGCGGATTACTCGAATAGCCATGACCCTCTGGGACGCGACCAGCGTACGAGCCGGCCGCCGCTTCAAGGCCGGCGCCCACACAGGGGCACCGTAGAGGGCCATGGATCGCACAATCCCCATATACAACCTCCGGCAGGAGGCGTTTGGCCCCCCGAGGTTGGGAAGGAGCCGCTTGAGCGCGGCCCCAGACCGTTCTAGCTTAGGGGCCAAACGACGAAAATGCTCCGTGAAGTTCCATCGGCTGTCGAGGACGAGACCCAGGTACTTCATCGCCGACTCGACGCCGATGGTAACTCCTCCTGCCGTTATTTGGGACCCACCTGGAGGTGGCGCGCTCCGACGGCCATAGAAGCACATGGCCTCGGACTTGTGGAGCGCCACCTCGAGTCCCAACTGCCGGATCCTTGCAACGACTGTCGCAACCGCTTGTGACATCAGGTCGGCCGCCGCCTGATGCGACCTCCCGTTCGCCAGCACCAGCGTGTCGTCAGCATAACAGACAATGCTGACGCCGCTCGGGAGGTCGGTGCGTAGCACCCAATCGTACCCGATGTTCCACAGGAGAGGTCCCAGGACCGATCCCTGTGGGACACCGCGCGACACCTCTCGCCGATTCCACACGCCCCGGTGACCGGGGTAGATGACGCATCTGTCCGTCAAGTAAGCCTCGACTACACGACGGAGATAGGCAGGCACCCGGTGATACCGGAGTGCCTCCAAAATGCAGCTCCAGGGCAACGAGTTAAAGGCGTTGGCGATGTCCAGAGACACCGCCACGACGACTCGCCTCCCGGCCAACGCTGTCCCCGTCGTGAGGTCCCTCACGCGCATGATGGCGTCCACCGTGGAGCGCCCTCTGCGGAAGCCGAACTGGCCGTCCGCTAAATCCGGCCCCCTTCCAGACAGGTGCCCGACGAGGCGGTCTGAGATTATCCTCTCGAACAGCTTTCCCACCTCGTCGAGCAGCACAATGGGCCGGTACGCGGACGGGGAGTCCGCAGGACGCCCCGGCTTCTTCACGAGGACCAGTTTACCCGTCTTCCACGACAGCGGAAACTGGCCTCTCTCCAAACATGCGCTGAACAGACCAAGTAGTCGAGGCCTGAGAGCCTCCGAGGCCAGGACCCAGACCTTGGCATGCAGCCCGTCAGGTCCTGGGGCGGTATTCTTGCCGCTCAGCCGGCGCACCGCCACTCTCAAATCTACCTCGGTCACTTCCGGAGCGGATTCGTCGTCGTCGTCGATGTAGCCCGCATTGGGCACCGCAGGGGGCGGGGGCATAGCCGGAGGCGTGTAACCCATCTGTGGTCGGGGGAATAGCGCCCCAACCACTTCGTCCACGACCTCCGGCCGGAGACTCTGAGTCAGTGGGGGCGCCCAGGTGCGGAGCTTATCACGCACCATCCGGTAGGGGTGTCCCCACGGGTCTCTGTTCAGAGTCTCCAACATCTCCTCGCGGGCCCGATCTTTGGCCCGCCGGATCTCCACCCTGAGGGTGGCCTTCGCCGCCCTGTACTCCTCGTATAGCTCCGCCTCTCTGGTTTCAGCGTCCAGAGGGCGGAGACGGAGCCTGCGGTGCCTGGTGTATCGGCGTCGCGCTGCGGTGCACTCACCGCGCAGGTCTGCCAATTCCTGCGACCACCAATACACCTGGCGCTTGCGTTGGCTCTAAAGGATGCTTGTGTTTATTGTTAATAACTTACCTATCTAATTTTTCTATACCTACATAATTATTATCGAAGATAAAAAAGAAGAATCAAAAAACTCAATTGCGAAAATATTTAGAAAATGTATCCGAGACCAAATAACACAAAATCAAAACATCGATACAATTAAAATGATTTTCCCTAAATATTACACAAACACCTGTTGCAATATTGTTCTTTTTAAACTCGAAGAACTCAACTTTGTACCTTCAGAACTTTTTATAGACCATTGTTCAAGGAATGAAACAAAAGAAATTTCCAATACATTACTAGCGGACTGTATCCAAACGAAATGTAAAAGTCGACTTGACATCGGAAATACATTTTCCTCTTGAAATCTTTTTAGTCAACACAAAGAACTACACATATTCATTCCTTTCTGTTTATTACTTAGTTAGAACATAGTATATTTTTATATTTGAAAGTATCTTTCAAATTTGTATGTAAAATATGGAGAATTTTCAACTGTAGTAAAATATTATGGTCTGCTCAAAGGTCTTGAGTGTTCAGCCATAATGTACCATAGCCCCGGTTCGGAACAAGAGAAGAACCGGTGTGGGTTTTTAGCCAGTAAGAGTCTAACATCACGCTCTTTAGCTCACCCAGATCGGGAAAAAGTCATAATTATGATGATAAAAGGATAACGTTATGCTGTTATTTTAATGGTTTTTAATGGTTGGTCAGTTCGTCATTCGAAAATGTTTTATATCTAGTCACGTAGGTTAGGTTAGTTTTTTTTCATAATTTCGTGTAGGTTAAAAATGAATTCAATATTTTTTTTATTTACTGACACATTCTTACTCCTCGCTACTCATGAACATGAACCCGATGTGATTTGAAACTATTAGAGCGTTTTGTGAAAACTTTTCGACCCGTATTTTATTTCAGTAAAATGAACTTTATTTTTATGGCTTGAAAACTTACAGCGGCATAGTCTGAGCTGATGGAGTTGTGTCCAAAGACATAGAAGTAGGATTGCCTGTTGGCCTGCGACTGGTAGTTAGCGAAGCGAACGACTGGAGCCAGAGTTCGGGCATCGCTGAACATATTGAGAATCACATCACGATTCGTCTCTACGTTCCAGCGTTGCGGGTCCAGCTTTGATGGTGAATATCTGCGAAATATAAGTCAGTTATGAGTTTTCTGCCTGCGTATTTTAATACGCAGGCAGAAAACTCATGTTAGTTAATTCTGAGTCAGGTAAAGTTATGAAATATTCTCGTTAAGAATGTAGAAATATTGGGATGAACATGGATTTACTCTGTGAAAGATATACTTTTAGGGAACAGAGTAGAGTAAGTACCTCTGACTAGGTAAGACGATCAACCTGGTGGGCTACTGCCTAACATTTTTACGTTGTGTTGTTCGTACATCCGATTCAATATAGTAAATTCTATAGGCTCAAACCTCCGGGTAAAAAGAATCCTTTGAGGCACAGTAATTGAACTTATAGGATGATGATAATAATGGTGATAAAACGATATCAACAAAAAGTTAATCAATAAACTAAAAATAATAATAATAAAGTAACTAACTCTTTTAAAATAGACTTCAAGGTCTCATCCTCAGCACCTTCGAATATGATCTTGGCGTATTTTCTTATGAAGTCATCTCTCTGGTTCTCCAAAACTCCGTGTTCCAATTCTATGACGCCGAAATCGTGGTATCTTTCTAATTCTGTCACTCCGCTTAGAAGTTGGTACCTAGTGGAGAATTGTACTACATGTTTAATAATATAAGTAATTTGGTTTTGACTATGTTAAAGTATACTTTATTTTTAAATGTGTCATTGCAACTAGATATTAAAGAAAAAATAAACTGCTTACACATATTTATTTAAAAAAAACCTGACTATTTTCAACCCCTATCGGATTGTTGAGTAATGTACATATATAAAAGTGACTAGGGAAAAGTATTTAATACTTTTTGGGAAAATCATCTGTAGAACATTATACATTCAAAATGTTATGTTGGTCACTACAGTTTTTATTTTACAAGATTGTAGATATAAACTCACTTGCTCAGTAAATTTGGAAACGACTCCATAGTCTTAGCGGGTTCATTTGGTATAAAAGACCCCGCAACCACTGGTCCCAAGGGGGTCTCAAACTCTCGTGCCAAAATCTGCACTTTCTTGATTTCTGATAACCTGTGAACAAATATTTATAAATGTATTATATGCGGTTTGTTTATATCGCATATGCGATAAATATGCGGTTAAGGTTTAAAGTAAATACAATTCTGCTTATTTATTACATAGGAAAAAATAACTAAATAGATCTCCTGATGGTAATCGATCATCGCTATCCTTGGACCGATAAGGTGTGAGAATCGATTGTTAATATTTAAGCTCTAGTCTAGTCTCACAGAATAAAATATTGTTTGATATATAGCCAACTATAAATGTCGATGGAAATAAAACATTACTGACAAAAAGCTGCCGCAATCTATTTCTGTTTAAGCCAATTGAATTCAAAACATATCTATTGCTACTTAATGCGTTAACTTCAGCGTCACAGGTGACCTACGTTAGCGAAAGATTTTTCATCAACCGTCCTAGTTGGCAGTCAAAGTCAGAGGCTTAAGACGACTTAGTCAACAATAAATTAAACAAAAAATATACAACTTAAATATGCAATACCTCATTAAAATAAACAAAATAAAATATCAACATACGAACGTAAAGGTCAAAGATGTTTACAAGAAAATAATGCCTTTGTTATAATACGACAAAGTTGAAAAGATCCCTGTAACGAATTCCCAAATGATATCGAAGAAGAAATAACAACGGCAATTAGTCGAAAAAATATTGTAGGTAGCTTTCTTTACCGACGCAACGTTTGATGCCAACTTCATTTCAAATTTGGGATATTTTCTGTATTCTAAGCCTTTTTATTATTTATTATCGAGACCCTTATTACTAAATCGGTATAATATTAGGAACGAGGAATAGTTCTGGTGTAATGCGATAATTTGTTTGAGACTTAGTATATTCTTGGTATATTAAATTTAAGACTTACTAGTATAAATATAATAGTTACTCAAAATGGAACGAGCGCTGAATACGAGATTCACTAACGAACAGACTGTCAAAATATTATTATATTTTTGGTTTCCTTTTGGTCTTTGACTTTTGACTAAATTCAATTTATCCTAATTATGTTTTTTATGTGTTTTTCTTCTTTTTTTCTTTTTATGTAAATTGAATTTAGTCAAAAGTCAAAGATTTGTCTTGGACTTTTGACTAAATTCAATTTAGCCTAAATATATGTATATGTTTTTAATGTGTTTTTCGTAATTGTTGATCACTGCTTAGTTAAAACATAATAATATTGGTAGACATTTCGAAATGTTGATTTTTGCAATAACCTTAATACCTTAATACGATGGATTCTAAATTAATATTAAAAATGTGTAGGTATGAGAATGACACTAGACAATTATTACATCGTAACTTATACCAAGTCCAAGCATCAAGCTTTATCAAAATTTAAAGATGCTGATTCGCTGGTAACAGAAATATTATTACTCATAAGGATTAGGACGCTTTACTTCCACGATTCAACTTTTATGCCGATTTTGTGAACAATGCATGATAAATAAATCATTGAGGAAACACGACGAGTAATACACATGCCCAATACGTTGCTAATAAAATCTGTTCATTTAAACATAAAACGAGGAATGGCCTCTACATATTTTATAAGGCTTTTAAAATTTCTATAAACGCTAAAAGCTTTTAACGCTGGAGATGAGGAATAGAAACTGTTCAATGGCGAATATTCTATAGTTTATTGTTCGTTTAGATTTAAAGACCAGCTTAACGTGATTGTTGCACGAAGAATAGAGAATAATACCTTAATAAGTTATACCTCTGCAGTGTATTTGTTGCGAATATTCCTGCTTTTATGGGATAAGGGCTAATGAACCGACGTATCTGATTAAATTATTTGGACCACCAACTGATATATTGGGGAGTTACACTTGCTCAAGGTTTACGATTTTCAACTTGGAATTGAAACCGATACTTATAATTTTAACGACTTTTTCTTTCACCGTTTGTCAATGGTGTCTAAATACTCTTAGAAATTAAATATTACACTAAGTAACTAAAAATCACATGCATGAGTTTGTGATGTGCTAAAATCACGTGATTTTCAGGTCAGGCAATGTTAAAATATTTTTGGATTTCCATTCAGTTTTTGGTATTAGCACGTTGTTTGAAATGTGTTAGATGTGAGACTATAAGCTGTCCCTATTACTTGAATCTTACATCTAAACCTGGCGTAAGTAAATTTTATTTTTATTTTTACTACTTACGGTTTCTTTTGCAAACAAGCCATCATGTTCTTAGAGTTTGGATTGCAACCCAAGCTCTGGGCTACTTGTAAAGTGTATGGCGTTGGATCCTTGGTCATCGCCCAATCTGACAATGCCGACCCGGACATCAATATGGCGCGGTGAAATAATCCTGGAAATTAAATATTTCAAGGTCAATAAAAACTTTTTTACAGAATAAGAATGTATTTTAGTGTTTAATGTCACAATTAAACATTTTAATGTAAATATTAATCCAAGTTTAACTGAAAAAAGGAAACTATTGTTATTACAACAAAAAAAAAACTACAAAACATGATCACAGATTAAAATTTTCGATAAAATATTTTCCGATAAGAACGCAGCTTCAAAAGCTGCAGATTCCGTTCGTGTATCAATAACTGAAGATATCGTACTAACGCCCTTTTAGCAAGAGCATTCAAAAGACGAAAGTATGTAACATCGTTCTGAAGATGTCGTTTGAACGGGAGAGCGATATTGCGAAACGATTAAGGAAAACATCGCGAGAAAACTCATACGTTCACAATAAAATATCGCCTGTGTAATGGTCCGAACACGATGATAGGTAAGCTTGTGAAGAATGAGACATGAGAACGTTGTGCACGGCGAATGTCGGGAATTAAAACCTGGAATATTGAGCGGCCATGTTTTTCTTCTGCCGCTTACAAAATTTCAAATTGGATTTCATGTTTTTACTTGACTTCACGGTTTGTCTGAATGGTTGGCGCGAAGGGTGGCTGTGCGCAACGTGTTGCGGATCCGATTCTCGCACAGACCAACTCTTTTTGTGATCCACAAATTGTTGTTCCGGCTCTGGGTGTGATGTGTATGTGAAATTGTATGTTTGTAAACGCACCCACGACACAGGAGAGAAACATTTTTTACGGTTTAAGTCGGCACCCAAGCAGACGGATTACCTGAAGTTAAGCAATCAGCGCCGTCCGTAGACCCCGCAACATAAGGAGTGCGTGAGGCCATCCGGTCGAGCCGAGCCATTCGTGTCGAAGCTTCGTTCTCCCACACTTCAATTTTTTTTTCAACAATCGCGCGATGTACTTTTGTGCTTCATTTTCAGTTCAGTTCTATGATGCTTACTTACCATTGGAAATTGGAGATAGCATCAGAAAGCTGACGCAAGCGGCACCAGTACTATGACCCATAAGGGTAACGGAGGTTGGATCACCATTCAAATCCTCGATATTATCTTTGATCCATTGTAAAGCTGCTAACTGGTCTAAGAGGCCATTGTTGCCGTAAACATGCTCGGTTAGACTCGGTTTCATAAATCCTGAAACATGAAAAAAATATTAATTTAGTTTTTGCTATACTGACGACCTCAACGTGTGGTCGCCAATGGGCCTACTGAAAATCTAGTGTAGAACTCTAGATCTAGAATCTGAACCATTCCAAATTGCTCTAGAACTTAAAATTTTGTAGTTAATCATTGTAAATTTTGTTGATCTATCCATATTTATTATATCGTATCGTAGAGATCTTTTAACAAATAAAAATGTGTGGAACGTAAGAAAAACGAATAGATAAAGTGTGAGAAACGAGAATAAAAGGATTTTGTGATAACACGACCTTCAATAGAAGAGGATTTAAAGACAAAAGAAAAAGGAAGTTGATTTCGGTTCATTATTTTGACTCAAACAGGCCTGTTTGACGAAATTGATGAATTTTAAGAATACGTGGAACATTTCGTCGCAAGGGAGAGAGAGAGAGACTACTTGATTTGAGACGTCGATATACATAGAAATTATGACCACGAGTAATCTCAAAAAAAGTGACTTGATAAAACAAACCCAATATGCCAAGTCGGAAGTTGACAGTGATAACCATGATGTTCCCGTAAGAAGCCAGCATCCTTCCATCGTAAGGGTTTCCAGAGCTCCACTCGAACGAATCACCGTGAATGAACACTAGCACTGGAAACTTTTTTGATTTTTGTTCTGTGGACAAAATGTTTAATTAAATGATAGTAAAGAGAGAGAGAGAGTAAATATAATTAGACCCAGGGCCAAGGTCCTTAAAAAATTTCGAAAATTGTCGTAAAAGAGATTCTACGCGGTTAAGACAGCTTGTGTTGGAACTGTCAAAGAATAGATCGCAAATGTTCTCAAGTGCTTTAGCTTTAGCGCCACTGCCATCGGCGAGCAAGGATAGTACGCTGCTGCGGTCCACGCGCGCTTCAAATAGCCAATAGACCGTCACAGCCGTTATTAGTCACTAAGTGTCGGACATTCCCTCTCGCTTTACGTGGCGTGGCGTAGGCGTGAGAAGACATTTGATGATTTTCCCTTCATATAAAAAGCCTTAATAAATATCGAAAATCTTCGTAAAAGTTATTCTATTGTGTGTTAAAGACTGTTCAAGATCTCAAGTTTTATTCAGTATCAGCTTTTGCCAGCAGGTTAGCCCACGTTACTCGTGAACAAATTTAATCTATTTATAAGCCAGTTTGCATCCAAATCCTTTAAGTAGTTTTTAGGTGGAAAACAACATATGTAAATCCAACCATATTTACAAACTTTTTCGTTTATAATGTAGTCAGTTTTTTAACCAAATTTAATCAATCTTGTAAAACAAAAGAGTCGGATTTAATTTCGTACATTACAAAGAATTAGGATTAAAATATTTAATTTCATTAGGCTTATTTTATTTACCCCTTTATTTGTGAAGAAGAGGTTTAAAAAAATATTATTTACAGAAAAAAAAACATTCCCATTGTAATTTACTCTTTAAAAAGCTAATCTTTATTTATTTGATAATCTCCCCTCTTGAGTGGATGAAAAGGGAAAAGAGTCTAGTTAATTGTACCTACGTTAATTTCGTTATTCGATTTTCAACTCTATTTATGTTTAGGTTTAAGGTTTCGTATCGTGTTTTTGTTATTTTTATTTTTTTAGCTCTTTTTAATGTAATCGTTGCTAAGATCAAAGGAGCCTTTCCACAAATCAATCCGGTGTTACCTTTACCCGTTTGTAACTAATGTTTTGGTTTTTTTCTTCTATAATTCTTTTTTTTTGGGTCTAGGGCTGATTTCCAGCCAGGGTTGCTAGGGAAAATGCAATAACGTATTGTGGCTGCGACCAGGAGCAAAAGAAGAAACGGGATGGTTTTTAGTCAGTAAAAATTGGACACAATCGCCACTGTCCAGGGGCAGTAGAAGTCATTTGATAAATACCCACAAAAAAAAATCCCGTTCTCACGGCTAATCAATCAATACCTTTTGTTTACTTGTATAAATACTATATATAATAATTCTTATAGAATATTATAATATATAGTATAATTATACACCTTGGTTTAGTTTTAGAACGACGTACAATAATACTGGTAGCGACATCTAGTTTTCCTCTCTAAAATTATTGTCATGTATTCCAACGCTCTCGTTAAGAGCTGTACATTTTCTCCTGAAACAAATCTGTCACAAGCTGTTTCAAGAGTATTAGGTCTGGTTCATAGATGGCGTTGTAGCAAACTCTGCAGGTATAAAATTAAATCTTATCCAAAAGAAAAATATAAGTTTATTTAAAATTATTACAATTAAAATTAATGTGAAAATATATGTAAATCATATCATATCATATGATTAATCATATTATCAAATAAAAATTAATAAAAGAAACACTTTTATGTTTATAACAATAAATAAGTGTTTCTTTTATTAATTTTTAAATTTTTGTATTTTCCGTCTGTCTATCTGATTTACTGAAATTAGCTTGAAATTACAAAAAAAAACTTAGCCTCAATATTGAATGAGTTAATGACTTAGTTTTATTGTAATTTATAATTACTTTAATTGATTTATAACGAGAAATCCTTTATTTTATCAAATAAGACAACCCCATATTGGCTATTCCCCATAATCTACAGCAGCGCCACTTTTAAGTAAACATCTAATTATAGCCGGCATAAACCCATTTCGTCTTAAGCGAACGTTTTTAAAAGGACATAAAGTCGGGAGCATGAGTAACGCGGACGGAAATGAGAGAATTCTAGAGTCGACCGCTTTCTGAACATTACTTTAAACGCCAGTAAAACTGCATATACTTTCACGCGGTCGCGTCAAACAAATGCGAAACGCGCGTTTCCAAACGATAACAATTTTTTTTAATATTTTTTTAGTGTAAATGTGCGTTTTGTTTATTATTTAAATTCGACAAGACGTAATCATGGCTTTGTTGTAATTACGCAAAATTGTGCTATTATATAGCCTTTGGGAGGACGACATTATTTTGGTTAAAAGTACTAAGTCGGTAATACAAAAAAATCTTACAGTTACTTTATAATAAAATTTTCAAATAAAAATTGTATATACGGAGCACAAAAAATTATAATATAATAATGTTGGTATTAAATTGAATTTACTATTGTAAATTAAAATCGCACTGGATTGAAGCCGGTGGAGGCGGATCATCCACTCCAGATGTTACCCCGATGCTGGCCACAGTTGGGTAGTTTCCTAGGTAAAAAATAAATTAATTCGACACTTCATTTCAATAAAATATCAAAAAATAACTATACTTTTATTCATCGATCGATTGATACACCGAATTTTAGAAATGTTTTAGCAAATTTTCAACAAATAAGTAAACTATTTGACCCTAAAATGTTATGACGTCATAACCCAGTTTTTCATACAAATTTCATAGAAAAGTATCGTTTTTGACGTTTGGATAAAAGTATTGAATTTGACTAATTGGAAACTACCGTATTATCAGACATGAGGGACCGACTATAAGAAGTAATTAAAAAAGATTACACGACCAGAGTTGAATATACATACCTACATTCTTACGAGATACAACCTCCTTTGTCGAAATATACAATTCAAGACAAATGAAAATTTCCATGAATGAGCGCGTAAAACGATCACAGTCTTCACATTCCGTGTAACCGGAATATCTCTATCCCTGTCTGACGTTTCAAAATAAACAAGGAGAGAACGTTTTTACGGACGCCCGCGTAAATCACGGGTCTTTTGTTTAAATCAAAGCGAGATTTTCTTTGACGAGTCAGCATCACGCCTTTAGCTTTATAAAGGTATTTAGAACTTTAATCCGTAATGTCTTAAGCAGAAAAATTGAAATTGTATGTACTTTGAAAAAAAAATCTGGTCTGCTTATGGCAGATAGTTTAAAAGCAGATGTAAGATTAAGACACTGAAAGCTTAGAGATGGATGAATGAATGACACATGAATTAGTATTTTGTAGAATTTTAGTACCTAGTACCTGGACTAACACGGATCATTTTTAACTTCAGGCACACACATACAAATTTACGATTTACAACGAAATGAACAAACGACCTAATAATGGATTTATATGTAATACCGGGGTAAAAAATTCATTAACATCCGTTCAGTAGCTTTTTAAATGAGAGCGTAACTAAAAAAATCGCATTTAGAATATTAGTACCTAGATTAATTTTATCGTTCCGTGTAGTGACGACGGTATAAACAATACATTCGTCACTAGCTCTACTCTTGACGCGGGTATTAAAAACAAGGTCGTTGTTATAGCATCCAGTAAGACTCGGCTCCCGACCAGAACTAGGCCCACGTCACACGTGCCTCAGAGAGCCATTATACCACCGCTAAGACCTGATAATGCTGATGTTCAGGATTACATGGCCAAGCGCAATAATGGTCCCTCTTGGAGCAGGAGAAGAAATAAGTGGGTTTTAGTCTGTAAGAGTATGTCCATCTCTCTTGCCAAATCCAAATGTAGCGGGAAAAGTCATTTGCCATTTTAAGATTATTTCCCGTTCAAGTGTGGGAGCCATGCTTCGGCACGAATGAGTCGGCTCGACCGGAGTGATACCACGGCCTCACAGAAAACCGGCGTGAAACAACCACAGCGTTGTGTTTCGCCGTGTGTGTGAGGTTACCGGAGGCCCAATCCTTCCCCACCCCTAATACCTGCTCATTTCCAAAATCTCCAAATCCCTAATCCTCAAAAGGTCGATAACTCATAACTCCTTCGTGGCGCTGATTGCTTACCATCAGGTAATCCATTTGCTCGTGCCCGACATAGCACACGAAGAAAAGTCAAAAGCAGTTAATAATGTGCCATAATTATCAGATAGAAATGCTATGATGTTCCAACACATACACATAAGGTACGGAGGCTCAAGAATTTACTGAAAACGGGTTACGATGGCACTTGTAAGTAATGTTCCATTAATTTGTTAGTGCCTATAAACATTCGCGAGCTAATCCTAACACATCCAGTGTTATGTCTGTTTATACTAATGAATGAATTGCGAAACTCGCGAGGCGTGGAAACAGTAACTTGGACTGATAGGTATAACATAACGTAATAATTGATTGGTTCTTCGTAAAATTAAAATAAACTAAAAATAACCCGACCTGATTCAACTGTGTCTGACACGGTTGGTGCGCTGGCCGGGCAACTGGATGCCATGCAACGTGTCGCGGGTTCGATTCCCGCACAAAACAACTCTTTGTGTGATCCACAAAAATTGTTGTTCCGGGTCTGGGTGTCATGTGCACGTGAAATTGTATGTTTGTAAACGCACCCACGACACAGGACAAAATCATAGTGTGGGGAAAAGTGAAAAAAAAATAACACTTTTGTTTTCGAAAATAAAATGGTAATCGCCAATGATTTCTTTTGTCCTGGATAGTAGTTACTCCTTATAATGACAACAAATTACTGTATTTATTATTGGCACTGATAAGACTTGTCACCTAAAGCTAAGAATTCGGTACCTTATGGCAAGCCTAAGAAGTGTGGGAGAGCCATGCTTCGGCACGAATGGGTCGGCTCGACCAGAGTGATACCACGGCCTCACAAAAAACCAGCGGACACACCCACAGCGTTGTGTTTCGCCGTGTGAGTGAGGTTACCGGAGGCCCAATCCTTCCCCTCCCCCGATCCCTCCCCAATCCCTTAATCTCCAAAACCCTAAGAGGTCGGCATCGCACTCGTTACTCTTCCGTTGCGGGTGTCCATGGGCGCTGATTGCTTACCATCAGGTAATCCGTCTGCTCGTTTGCCGACATATCACATAAAAAAGATACCTAATGGTAAGCACAAGGCAGTTAAAAGTGCTCTACTGGCCTTTTGGGGATTAGGGATTTTAGATATTTATATTTAAATCTAAATATAATACAGGAAATGTTTATTTTGGACAAAGTCAATATATTTGCTTGTTAAACATTTATTTACTAATGAAATAGGTTAATTAACTACAGCTTGTAGGCAATTAGCCAAAACCCGTTCTGTGATGAATCTCAATGGGTTCACTACGTTACTCGGGACATATAATTAATGTTCTGTGGTTATGATTATAATTTGTAAAATTTATTTCTTCAACTGCCTAAGTTGGTGATAACACATCAAGTTCCAATTCCTAAGTCGTGTAAAGAATTATTTAAGTAGATTTTTTTAACAGAAATTCTCGCTTACCTGTGTTATAAGACAATTCATATGACTAACTGAGGCCCATAGGAATTGTGAATATTTATTGGTGGAATATTTATACATGCTTCTCTACTTACACCGACCTCAAATTAAAAGGCGTGATGTTATTTTATTTAAATCATTTTTTCACAAGGTAAAATGTGTGTTTCTGTTTGTTTGTAATGTATAAACTTTCATAAGTACCTTATATTATTTAATAATTTTATTAAAAAGAAACATTTTTCTAATGTTTAAAATTTTAAATCTACTCTTGCCTGTAAAATATGAAGGTGTCAATACTTGTTCAAAAGTAAGATACCTAATTTTCGCTGTTCCCGGTTTATTCATGAATGTGAGCCCCAAGTTTGTTTTGAAACTAAGCGAGCTACCTTGTAAACAGTTAAAAACATTATTCATTGAAATATGTAGCATGAGAGTTCGTATCGTAAAATATATGGATATCAATAATGTGCCACATAACATCTTCTATTTTCCAAATTCCATCCAGCAAACAGTGGCAGATAATTACAGTTTTTGGGAATTAAAAAACAAGATTAAAACAATAGTTTCGTACCCTTGCAGTCAACACGTCTACTGCGCATTGTTCCGGATTTCTTTGTTCCAAACAGTCTTTTGTTTGTAGGAAAATTACGTGAAAATTTTCTCGCGACACTGTACAGTTAATGTTCGTAGTTAAACTTCCTTGCAGAAATACATTTTTGACACCATTTTATAAATTTGCGCTATAGAGTCGCTTCATACGCGATGACACGATCAAGGCACACGCAATATGCAAGTATACATATACATACACATATGTGATAATAAAAATTAGCCCTATAGTATAGTATAGTATGTGTTTTTGTATAATCGGCCAATCAATATTGTTTTGAAACTTTACGTATTTAAATTGGCACAATCCTAATTGATTCTAAAAAAGGTTTATATTGTTTTAATTGATCCACTTTAACGGAACAAAAATATAATAGTATAATATTAAACATATTAAAAATAAAATCTACACAAAAATGTTTTTAAATGATTTAATGAACACAAACAAATTTAAAATAATGTCATTTATTATAGTTTTGTTTATGTGAAAAGTGAGTAATTGTCGCTTCAAAAAGCAAAACCAGGATGGCTGAATCAATTTTATAAACGAAAAATTATTTATATTTGAATCACACATATTCCCTATTAAACTTCTGCAATTTTCATTTCTCAATGACTTACGTTTGTTAGGTTACGTCTGGAGTTGACGGGACGTTTTTGCTGCCCACACAAATTTAAACCTTCACACTATAGTTTAAAGTCCTAAATAGAATAGCGATTAGTGGGGAGTAATCCTACTTTTTCCATTTAAGATTTTATCGAGTTCTTTATAACAAAGGTATTATGTTGAAGGGTGCTCGAGCAATAGTTCTAACGTTTGGGAAATACTGGCAATGCTCTCAAGTCTTAACTCAACTGACATCTTTGGATCTGTGAATGAGAGAACTATTTTTACGACTCGTTTATTTTCACCTTTGGTATTATATACTTCTTTTTGTTTTCATTCTTTATTCTCGATCCAATTTCAACTAGAGTAGAGATACTCTCTGTGTAGTTGAATTAGAAATGAATTTGAAGGCAGTTCCAATTTTAAAATACATAGGTTTAAAAACTATGTATATATCACCTTTTAATAAATTCAAGCAGTGAATTTTCAATACATGAGTACTCTGTTTATGGAGAATTCTGTTTACCTTCACGTTTCATATTAATGTATTATTATTTTTTGTAACTGGTAAGTTTATGTGTGTTTTGCGCAAAAATAAATGATATTTTTTCTTTTTTTTGTTTTTGCTGCATTTCCTGTCAGCGTCTTTACCTTTCGTATAAGGGTAAAAAGTGTGTGTGATATTTTAGACTACAATCTATCTGTGTTCAAATTTCTCCCAAAACCTGTCCAGTAGTGTTTACGTGAAAGAGTCACAAATACCCACACATACTTATAAACTTTCGCTTTTGTTATATTAAATAGGATTTACAGCATTCCACTCACGTAAGTGCGCTGAAAACATTAATTCAAACGTACAGTATTCTACACAATCAGGTATCGAATAAAAAAATGACGTCACGACACCCCTACACGCCTATTATATCCCACGTCAGCTGTGGACCAGTTTCAAATCTAATTCTGTAACTTCCGTCGCTAACTATTTGAATTCTTACGACATAAATAAACATTTGGAACTATGAGAAGCAGTGCGTGAAACTAAATTTTGTTAGGAATGCATCTAGGTATTTATAGATCTGATTGCATGTGACCACAAAGTCAGAAAACTTAACCTAGTAGGAATCAAACTTCACTTGATTATTCGATTCTTTTTTGTTAATCTTTGGATGTTTGAGACGTCCTAGCTGCAGGGCAATAACAATAAGTCACTGCGGTTTCGGCATAGGGCAGGAGAAGGATAGGTGGGGTGGTTTTATTCAGTAAGAGTCTGACACTCCCTCTCTCCCCACCCTGGGTGGGGGAAGTCAAACGAAGATTTTCTCCACACAAAAAAAGAGATGTCATTGTAAAAGTAAAACCTCTTTTCAGTCTTTGAAGAGGTTTTATGTGTAGCACTAACTTTTCATCCGACACGTTTTGAGTCTTGCGTAACAGCGGTAGATGTCTTGTGCAAACTCAAATTTATTGAGAAACAAACAGGTATTAATTTTGCTTGCTCTGGAAGTTAAATTTCGCCACTTCGAGGACTGGTGATTCGGAATTAGGTATGCTAGCAAAACCATTGACATCTGGAGTAAGGGATTTTATACCTTCTTTTAAGGATAAGATATGATTCAGTATAAGGAAGTTGCAAAGGGGCATCCAGCTACACAGCTGGATGCCGACGACGTAACATGAAGAAAGTACTTTATCTTCGTACTTTCTTCATGTTTCATCCTTGAAAATGTCAACCTTTGAACATGTCGAGCATGTATTGGATGAAAGGCTTCAATATGGTTTCCAAGGTCTGTGACAAAATTCAAGGCTCCTAGATTCCGTGATTAGCAAGATGAGTTCTCCAGGTAAGCGGAGTTCAACAGTTAGGTTTTTTAAGTAGACTTTGAGCAAAGTCCTCATGCCTAAGTGTATTTAAAACCAAAGAAACAGCTTAAAATAAAATATAACATAGTAACAAAAACATTCAAAGAAAAAATTCTCGAAAAGGAACTTTGCTCTAGTGCCATTGTTCTTGGACATTTGCCAAGTTTTTTTCAAGTAAAAGTCAAAAAAATTGGCCTGATTTCTTTTAAAACTCAGTAAACGAATATCATCACAGTCTTACCGTAGTTTCGACCGACATTTAACGTGATTGACATATATTTACACTTACATATCTGCGATGGCGCCAAAGTTATTTTAGTAGGCAGACTTCGTTTTCTTCGCTTACGTTTTTAGTTTTCCACTGACTGTTATAACACAATAATATAATCGTGAGTCAGGTAACCTTGTAAATTAATTTGATAAAGGCATAAAATAACTATTTTTATAATATATGTAACAATCACATTAGGTTCGAAAAACAAATGGCTGTTGCTGTGTGAGATCTAAACTCGCGATCCACGGCGCTATACATATTATTTTAATTTAAAGTTTTTTCTTAATTCACTTTTTACCAATTTTTCACGTTTGGTTAGCAGTTGACCTTTAGTTTTAAGGTCCAGTTGTAGATATCTACGAGCTCTGATTTGAACTAGGTCTGGTGATTTCAAAATACTACTAATAACCTACACAGAATTTGGAACACATTACTCAGAGGGTAAAAATGTGGCCGCGGCTTTTGACCAAAAAGGACATCAATAAATAAAGCAATTGAAACTATACAAATTACAAAATGAACGTTAAAATCGACGGGTAATGGAGCAAAGGAATCGTTTGGCCGATTCCCGACCTACTTCCTGCTAAAGCAAACAGTAGTCAGTAGAATATCAACGCAGAAGTCAACAAATAGAGTATATGACGCTTGTCAAAACTAAGATCAAAGGAATGTCCATAAGTAATGAACTGTTGCAATGCTATTAACTGCAGCGTTGCTAACGTGCGAGCGACCACCGCAATTGTTTCTTCAACTTGTGTATTCACATACTTGGGTTGTGGAACAAGTTAAGAAGGCCTGGGCCTGAGGAAGAAGTAAGAACGGGGTGGTGTTTAGTTGGACTGACGCCAGCAGTTTAAGGTTCCCTGTCGCCCAAGCCAGTGCAGGAAAAGATACTTGACAAATTTCATCACTAAAAAAAAAAAAATTATGGGTATGACAATAAATCGATATGTCCTAAAACTGGCAGTAGCTACCGAGACGATGACCCATCTGTCACAAATGAAATTGTGTTTTTTCATAATATGGAACTGTTGTAATAAGGACTTCATTTAATATCCGCGACTTCATTTCCATGCATGTAAAATTTAAATTAATAAAAAAAACCTAATGGTAATCCAATGACTTTGGTTTGAACTGGATTTCAAGGTCAACTAAATTGTATTTTATTTGTGACATAGGTACTAGGACTTCATAATTGTGAAAAGATATATTTGCAAAAACGCTTATCACTATGAGGCTGATTACAAAGCCGTTGCAAAGTGATTGGAAGTAATTCTGGGCTTTTTTTCTAAAAGAGTTAACACGATGTTCCTAATGAGACCAAGCTGGGTTCTTCTGGTTCTTTTGGGTGACAAAGCTTAACACTTTATTTTATGATTTTCTCCTGTATCGTGAGTGCAGTTACAAACATTCGATTTCACATATACAAGACACCCAGACTCGAAATAACAATTAGTGGATCATACAAAGAGTTGTTCCTTGCGGGAATCGAACCCGCGATAGGCTACGCGGCTGCCAGTTGCCCAGCCACCACTATGTTCATTGTCACTGGCGTTTACATAATATTATCAGAATTCAATAAGTTTTTGAAGCAGTCAAAGTATTCAAACAAAATTCTATTGAATTGTATCAAAAAAATAAGCAGTTATTATTATTTGACGGATGGGATAAGATTTTGGTGTAAGCACTTCAAACTTTCCGACGCTCATTTCTGGCGTTAAATAGGCAATTCAACTTTTTGATGAACACTCGGCCTATTTAGAGCAGCTTCAAGAAGTCATTTGGCTCTTTAAGTATGGTTTAATTTATGCTCTAATTTTGTCTATACCTATATTTAGATTTTGTCGTCTGTAGTTTTGGTAGCGCATTTTTTTTAATGTTACACCGATAAATTCGGTTTTAAAGACTTCATTTTTCATTGTTCGTCATATGGTTACATGTCTTAGAACAACTTTAAAAAAAACGACTATTTACGAGCCGACCTGTTACAAGCCGTAATATTATATCTGGTGAAACGGCTAAGAACATTTAACTCGGAATATCTGCGAATGTGAGTAAATAATAAAATCTTTAAACAAAATTGATATTTTTAAACAGTAAACTGGGCTTAAGAAAATTGTTCGAATTTATGTATGTTTTTAGCACATGTTAGGCCGTTCACATTCCATCATGACACATCCGAGCTATCTTAACAATTTTAACACAAGTGCCAATTTTATTTAAGTACCACTTGTAGGTCTGCCCTAGCT